GGGGGCTGGGGCTACGGCTGCTGGATGGTGGGGGAGGAGCAGGATGAGGAGGAGAAGCGGAGTGGGATGTTCAAGGTCAGCACCAAATGTGCCGAACAGCGAAGTTAGGCAAACTCTATGCCTTGTGTATGCAAATCAAACCAGGAGATCAAACAGTGCCAGGGCTCCCACGTGAGACGGCGGCGGCGGCGCTCGGACACGGCACTAACGGCCGGGGCCGGGCGCGAGGAGCCCGAAGAATGGTCACCTAGTAACATTGCGTGGAGGTGCCGCTCTCACATTACTGACGCAAAATGTCATTTTTTTTTCGGGGTCAGGAATCCACCAGAACTTGACTATTTTACATGTCATCGACGTTGAAGTGTCCGTGACCATGGGTATCGTGCTGCCCCCCCCGGCGGTGGTGCGCAGTGTTTTAAGGTCTGCGGGGGAATTACCAGCAGGCGCTCCCGACGCTTGGCCGTGCCGCTCGGTCCCCTGGACGTGGTCTCCGCAGCAGGGACAGCTAAAGGCCTGCTCTGTCATTCAACACAATAGGCTCCGCTTTCTTCTGCGCTCCGCTCAGATTTTTTAAATTCACCAGCGTCATCGGCGAATCGGGAGGATGCGGCGGAAAGAAGCCCGCTCCGCCCGGCGGCCCCGCCCCCACTACCCCGCCCTATGCTGCCCCGCGGTCCGATACGATCGGCTACGGAGGGGGAGTGGGCCCGCTAGAGAGAGAAGGAGTTCCAACTTTTCATTGTTATTACCAAAGAATGTTTTGGACGGTAAAATGAGGGAAGAAAACAATCCGGACAATCGTTCTTCCCAGCCGGGCCCGTCTCGTGGCCTGGTGCGCCCGGGGCGCCCGGGGCGCCTGGCTCCCTACTGTACTCAGGCCCGATTGACCCCACACCGACACCACAAAGTGAACTTGATGACGCGACGCGCCTCCAAATTCCTCGGGCGGCGCTGCGCGGGGCTGCTCGTGTGCCCTCCGCGCCCGCCTCCTCCTCCCCGCCCCTCCCTGGCCATAAGGCCACTCGGCCCCGCCGCCAGCCCTGGCCTTATCCCTGGACGCTCCAGATCACGGATGACGAGGGTCGGCCGGGCCGCCTCCTCACTGCCAATGCCTGGCCAGGCAGGCCGGCCTGCCGAGCGTTGTTTAGTTAGACCAGCCGGCTCGGCCGGAGCCCGTCCGACTGACAGTGTCAATACCGCTTATCTTACTTTCCTCAACTCCCCCGACCCCAAGTCAGACAGTCCGTCTGTCCTAACGGCCCGTCCATCTGCCCGCCTTATCCCTTCCCGATCATAAACCCCCCCCCCTCCTTTCCCCTGCCCCTCTTACGGGATGAACGCGTCATCTGATTCCATTCCCAGATTGAACAAAAAGAGCTCTCGCGCGGACTTGTATCTGACGAAACCTGTGACGTCTTCGAGAGGAATCTCCGCCACTCTCTTCTGTTGTACGCGATTGCCGTTTACATTCGGTGGTCATTACCCTCGGGGAGCTAATTATTATACCTCGAGCGTTCTTCTCCAACCAGCCCCGAGGCACCCAATCCATCACCCATCACCCCTGTCCTCCGCTCCGCTCCCCCTCCGCTCCCCCTCCGCTCCCCCGCCCTCTCCTCCGAGAAGCCCAGCCACTATCTCCACGGGCCCGCCGGCCACAATGTCGTGAGTCATATGGACTGACGTCGTATCGTCATGGAGCGGGCAAGGGACAGGGCAGGGCGGGGCGGGGCGGGGCAGCGAGTGGCGGGTCGGTACGTACATGCCTCAGTAAAGTGTTCGCTGCGATCCTGACCACTTGGTCCCCCTCGGTCTGTTGTCGGGCCCGCCGAGCAGCAAGAGCGCCCCGTCGACGCCGAGGGTCTCGCCCCGCATACGCCTCCCCGCGCCGCCCGGCCGTACGCGCTCCCGCTGTGCCGCGCCAGCCGCGCCCCCGCCCTGCAGTGCGAGCTCAAGATCAGCCGGACTGTCCGGCCCGGCCCGACCGGCCCGACTGCGACCCCCGCGACAGTGATTGCCACCACAGGCGTGCACCCGACCGGTGCAGCAGCAGCAACACCAGCCCCTGCCCTCGTCACTCCATGGACTGTCAGTGACGGAAGTGACACACGAAGTGGCGCTCGGTAGTGACTGACGACACGATCATGGCGACAAACACGGTGGGCGCCGCGTTGTCGCTGCTGGTGCTCGCCCTTTCCAGTGCAGGTGAGTGCCCGCGAGTGTTCGGTACCTGCAACCTGTAGGTGGCCAATGAGCCCCCTCGGAGGAAAGGCGCATGCTAGCCCACATGCAGACGTGCGGACGGGTTGCCTAGTCACATGGAGGATAAGGCGCCATGCCTGCCTACAGACGATAGGCAAACCGGTTCGCACGCCTGCATGCAGGCTAGTACACGCATTTGCCCCGACGGGCACAGCGACTGCGGGAGTGTCCTGGAAGCACCAAGGCACCAAGAGAGGGAAGCACACTTACGGAGCCAACCCCTGGCGGATGGATGTGTGTTCCAGCGGGTTGCGAAGGGAAGCGAGTCCATGCCAATAGTGGCGGCGCATTCCTGACTAGCTCAGCGGCATGCACGTGGGGTGATGGACACTCCTTCGCATGCGACTTTTGTGCTAACGAACCCTATCATTGTTGGGGCAAATGATTTGAATACGACGCAATCAGTAAATTTCCCCTTATTGACTCAGTGAGTGTTGGAAATACCGACAATGATTGTTGCCTACGTGACTGCTGCGAACAATGACGAAAAGAACACCTCTTTGATGAACCTGGACCGAACGAATGGGGAAGTGGCGGCTGTGAGTTGTGAGTGTGTGTGTGTAAGGGGGGGAGGGGGCAATGTCTTCCCCTTCGTATCCGCGGCCGCCCTGCCGTGCCCTGCCGTGCCCTGCCGTGCCCTGCCGTGCCCTGCCGTGCCCCCGGCCGAGACGCGCTTGGCCAGCGATGGAAATAGCCGGCAAGCCGGTCCGGCACCGCGCGGCGATATGCTAAATTTAGAATGACCAACTCGGGAGGCTCATTGAGACAAAGACGGACAACAAGAGCGCCGCGCGGAGCCGGCCGGCAGGCGCGGCAGGGCGCAGCGCAGCGCAGCGTCCGGCGGGTGCATGCTGATGGATGGGTTGAAGGTTGCGCCTGCACGCCCCGCCCCGCCCCGCCCCGCTTATTAACTCGAGATCGCGTGCGCGCAGCGCGGCGGGACGCCTCACTGCTTGCGGGCCGGCGCGGGGCGCGCCACAAGACCGCCGTAAGTGCAGCGCGGCCGCGGGGCAGATACGCGCCTTCGCCCGGGGACGGCGACCAAAAAGGTCGATAATTGGGCGATGGTAAGGGAGTGGTGAAAACGATAGCAGCACCATCAATGGCCTGCTGCTGCGGCGCGATGCGGCGCGGCGCGGTCGTGGCGCAGGGCGGGGCGGGGAATATCGCGCGGGAAACTTTGTTGGCTGCCCCGCGATAACGCGCTGGTGCCGGTGCTGCAGTCTCCGCAGGGGTTTATCGCCAAAAAAGAAACGAGAAGGCTGAGCTGCCATACAGAATAGTGTTTTTTTTTGTTTTTTGTTTTGTGTTTCGTCTCTTTTTAATACCCTAAAACTTTTGGTGACGCGTATATCCGCTTGTACGTGTGTGTTAGGGGTGGTCCTGACGCCGCGACCCCACCGCCCCCCATGGTGGGTCTGATTAGGCCCCCGGTGGACCCGGGGCCTCGGCCAGGCGGCGGCATTGGCGGGAGGTCGCTCCGCTGAGCTCCGCTGAGCCCTGCTGTGTGGGCGGCTTTGGCCGGAAGCCCCGGCCAACCCGCCTGCAGGCACCCCGCCTCTCCCCGCACGCCCCACGCCGCCCCACCCTTCCCCTCCCGCCACGCCGGAAACAGACTTTATCTTTAGCCGCTGCAGCCACACTGTGACACGCCGCCGAGGCAGACGACGGCGACGATGGCGACGTCGTCAAGGCGCGGTGCGACGGCACACCGCGCGCGCCCCGCGGGGCGTGGCGGGGCGTGGCGGGGCGCGGCCGCTGCATGCTGCATCCGCACCGGTGAGGTGTGGCGGGGGGAGGGGGAGAGGACTGCGCCTTTTCCCCGCCGGCCCCACTCGCATGATCATCGTGCTCGCGGTGCGTTCGTTCCAATTTTACACCGGGCCGGGTCGGCGGTGTGCGGCGCGCGCGAAAACTGCGCGGTCATGCCGGCCGCCTCCGCCGCACCGCCAGGCAGGCACACGTGGTGCGCGGGATCCGCACCGCGGCCGCGCCGACAACAAAACAAGAACACAGCCACAACAAGCATGCCTGATGAACCGCGACCGGCTGAGGAGGCGGCGGCGCAGGTGGAGCAGGCAGGCGTCGCGGACTTGTTGCTCGCTCCGCCAAAAAGTCATGACGTCAGCGCGGCGGCATGTCCCGCCCCGCCATGTGCCGGGCTAGGCTAGGCCCGTGCGCGAAAGTCGCAACCACCGCCGC